GGCCAGGAGCGGGGGTGGGTCTGGCCCTCGTCAGCCACCCGCGCACCTCTTGATGTTGCCGTGAATGATGTCCAGCTCGTGCAGGTGGGCCGCGGCCCGAAGCAGGCCCAAGCAGATGCGCACCCTCAGCGGCCAGGGCAGGGGGTCCGCAGCACCCTGGGGGACACAGGAGGAGATGTGAGGTCCAGAGAGCAAGAGTCTGGGGCTCGGGGCGTTCCTCCAGCCCCCCCCCCGCCCCGGCCTCCCCGCCAGGCTCCGCCAGGGGCAGGCAGTGGTTCTGACATCAGACAGGTTAGTGGAAACCCCGGTCGGACACCCTCGCTGGGCGGCTCGGGGCGAGCACTGAGGCTCCGAGCCCGGGTGGCTCCAGATATAAATGGAGACCAGACGTGCAGTGAGGCAGCGGCCGGAGGACCCCCCAGAGACAGAGGGGGGCAGGACAGGCGGATCCACTGAGACCCACTGCTGGGGGAGCAGCGGGGAAACAGGGGAGGTCGGCTGCGCCCTGGGGGTCCCTCCCTGGCCGGGGATGGCCTCAGGCCGCAGTGGCTGGTGATGGCCTCAGGGTGCTGAGACGTGATCCCCCGGCCACCGGGGAGGCTCCTTGTAACTGTGACAGGCCTGGCCCGGCCGTGGGCAGCGCCACAGCCCACGCTGCACACAGCGCTCGAAGCTGCTGACGCGCAGGGCGGGAGAAGCCCCCCGTCCTGCGGCCAGGCTGCGAGCTCTCCTCCCCAGAGGCAGCCCGAACAGCCTGTCCTGCCTTTGCAGAACGTTCCGCAACACACACGCAGGCAGGTATATTCAGCATTTCAAAACAAAGGCCTGCCCGCTCTCCACACTGCCTGTCCGAGTCCTGGGCATGGCCTCGGCACGGGCTGGCACCCAGAGCAACGCCGGCCCAAACCGGGCTGGGAGGAGCCTGTCTTGCCAGCGACGCGGAGGAAGCCCCTCTCCTTCGTCAAGGTTGATGGCTGTTCCCCAGCGTGGTTAGTCTGACCTTAGCCCTCCTGGAAAGGTCTCCGACGGCTGCCCACCCTGCTGGACCCCTGGGGGCCCTGAACCCTTAATTCTCTTTCTTATTTTTTTTCCCCAAGAACAGAAAAGGCAGCTTGAGAGAGAAACACGGGCAGTGGGCGAGACAGGGGAGCCGCTGCCCCGGCCAGTCCCTGACTGCCGGGTCCTCGAGCCCGACGGCGCCTCACCGGGCCCCGGAGTCTGTCCTGCAGAGAACCGTTGGCCATGTAGGGGTGGATCAAGCTGTCAAACTGCGTTCCAGAGCAGAGGCCCAGCAGGGGGAGGACGTTGGGGTGGCGGCACCTGAAACCAGCATCGGTGCGGGTGAGGGGCCAAGACCCAAGGCTGCCCCGAGCCCCCTCTCCCGCCCGCCTCCCCGCCCCACCCTGCAGCCTCCCGGGCACCAACTGCGCCGAGGCAGGATGACCACGACCAGCCTGGGGCCCGTGGCCGGAGGCCTGGCCCTCCACTGCCCAGGAACAGCAGCTCCCAGGGAGCCTTGGCCCAAGGTCAGCAGCAAGGCCCAGTGACACCCAGGCCAGGGGTTCGCCCCTGAACTCCTGCCCCTCAGGGCTGAAGCCGCTTCTCTCTGTCCTCTCCCTCGGCCCCTTGCACTGGGAACCCCGCCGGCCTGCGTCTGGACCCCAAGTCTCCGGCAGGGCTCATCATCCTGCTCTGGACATTTCTCCTCCTCCTGGTATCTCCCACTTCCCCGAGGAGCACCCCAAACCTGTCGGGGCCCAGCCCAAGCTCCACGCCCGGATGTCCACGTACAGCCTGACACCCAGCTCAGCAAGCCCAAACCTCTCCATCCGTCCTCACCACCCATCGTGCCCCAGAAGCCCCTGACGACCCCTTGCATCGGCGACGCTCACGCCGCGAGTCCCTCGCCAAGTGCCCCTCACGCGCCCCTCGGCCTCGGGAGGGTCAGGCCCCGATGGCCTCGCCTGGGACGCTGCCCACACACCCCGGTCATCGACTTCCTGCGAGCTACACTATTTTCTGTTTTAAAGCTTTGTTTATTTCTGCATACAAGAGCTGGGGCATAGACCAGAGGTGTGGGGGTGAGGACTCACCGGAGAGTGGGGAGCAGAGCAGGCGGATCCACTGAAACCCACCGCTGAGGGGAGCAGCGGGGAGGCGGCAGAGGTCTGCTGCGCCC